GGAGGTTCTTGCCCTTGTTGGTCAGCATTTTGAGCATTCCAAGACGACAACGGAGGGCCTGCAGACCAAGGTCATCAACGCCATGCCCACTGTCAACGAGAAGCTTGAAAAGCTCGTTGGTCATACCGGCGAAGCGGAGAAGGCTTTCGCTCATCTCGAAGATGTCCACAAACAAGTCAAGAATACCTCCGCCGAGCTCGCTGAGTTTATCGCTACCCAGACTCAGCGCGCTGTCGAAGAGGATGAGAACAAAAAGAAGATACTGCAAGAGACTACGATTGCTCTTGAGCGTCAGCTGGCTGAAAAGGAAGCAATCGAGGTTCGTTTGGCTGAGCTCAAAGAGGAGGAAGCCCGCGTTAAGGAGAGCATCAATGTTACTTTGCGTGAGGAGCAGGATCAGCTCAAGTCCCAGTTCTTAGAAAACCTCCAACAGGAACAGGCACGTCTGAAGCAGATGAATGAGTCTCTGAAGCAGGAACAGGAAGAGCTCAAGTCTACGTTCTTGGCCAACTTGGCTGAGGAGGAGCATCGCCTCAAGACGCTGAATGAATCCCTAAGAAAGGAGCACGAGGAGGCCAAGGCGGTGTTCATGGCCGGTCTCAAGGCGGAGGAGACAAGGCTGAAAGAACTCAATGCTTCTCTCAAGGAAGAGCACGAAACCTTGAAAAAGACGTTCACAACTAATCTTGAAGAGGAACGTGACCGCCTGATGGAAATAAACGTGTCCCTCAAAGAAGAACAAGACACCATGAAGAAGACCTTCGCTGCTAACCTCCGCGATGAGCGCGACCGTTTGATCGAGCTCAATTCCGCCCTCAAAGCCGAGCACGAGTCGCTCAAGCGGAGCTTCCTTGCTGTTTTGAAAGACGAAGAAGCCCGTCTGAAGGAGTCGAACGATGCTTTGCGAGAAGAGCAGCAAGCTCTCAAGGATAAGTTCCTCAAGAATTTGCGCGAGGAGGAGTCTTTGCTCAAGGAAGTCAATGAAGGTCTCAGGCAAGAGCAGAAAGAACTTAGGAGCTCTTTCCTTGCCGCTTTCAAGGAGGAAGAGAGGCGTCTCAAGGAGATCAACGCCAGCCTGCGGGAAGAGCAAGAAGAAATGAAGGCAATCTTCCGTGAAGAGCAGGAGAAGCTGAAGGTGGATCTGCTCGCTAACCTGATGGAGGAGGAGTGTCGCCTTAAGGAACGCAACGAGGCACTGCGCAAGGAGCATGACAAACTTAAGGAGCAGTTCTTGGCTGATTTGAGGGCTGAGCAGCAGGGTATTAAACACAACCTTGTTGAGCTCCGCGGGGAGCAAGAGGAGCTGGTGCGCAAGAAATCCAGACTTACGGCGGACTTGTCCTCCCTCGACACTGCCCTCCGCCTCCGAAGAGAAGAGCTCCACGAGATGGAAACCCGCGCCGAAACGCTCGAGCGCCGTATCCTCGAGGGAGTCATGGACCATTCACGCTTACTTCTCATGGCCAAAGGCAAGCGCTTCACCACGGGCGTCGGTCGGGAGTCAATGAACCGCAAGCGCGTCCCCTCGCAGATGTCCACCCGCGCTCCCAGCGTCGTTTCACGCATGGAGTCAAGACAGCCCACGTCGGCACTCAACATGGCTGCTATCAACGCCAAGACCAGAACCCCTAAGATGGGCACGGGTGCGGGATCGTCGGCGTCTAACAGACGGATTCTGTCACTCAGTCAAATGGTCAGCGGAGCTCTACCGGGCGGCAGCATCAAGCGCAGCAATAGCGTTAGGAACGGGGCTGGCGGTGGTGGTGTCGCGGCGGTCAAGGCGGCGGTAGCTGCTCATCATGGTGATGACGGTTCTTCCGGTACTTCGAGACCTAAGGCTAGAGAGAGAAAGGGGAGCTGGGCGACGACGAGTTCGAAGTCCACGGCGAAGGGATATGGTGGTCTATCGAAAGAGGATAGAGACGTCTCCCTGAAGGACACGGATGATGAGGACGAGGAGGGGTATGACACCGCTACTCCACCAGTTGATGTGCGCTCCGGGTCAGATGAGGACATGGTTCACGTCGACGACGACGCGCGCACCGAGTCCTCTTCCCGTTACGGCGGCGACGAAGACCACAACGAAACCGAAACTGAAACTGAGGCGGACGAAACAGCCACTCTACGTCGCTCCTCCCAGGGCACGACGGTCATCACTTCCTCTTCCCGCTCCGGCCCTCGTTCGGCTCGATCCGGTCGCTCAAATGGCAGTCGAGATGACGACAGAGAAAGCCAGTATAGCCAGGACCACGACCAAGATGACGAAGACGACAACTACTCGGACTACGAAACAGGCGACGATAGTGAAGACGACTGGACCGAGAGGGGTAGTGCCATTTCGGGCATGACTGGTACCACGGGCACGAGCAGGACGGGGCGCAGTAGTGTTAGCGCGCCGTCGATTGCGCCGAGTGCGTCGGTCATGAGTGTGGCGAGTTCAAAGATGTCCAAGGCTAGTAAGATGAGCAAGGACTCGGCTATTTCGGGGATTCCTAGGGCGAGTCCGAAGAAGGGGAAAAAGGTTGGAAAGTGAGGTGGGAAGGATGAGGTGGGAAGGATGACGGGTGAACGGTGAGGTGGGAAGGATGAGGTGGGAAGGATGACGGGTGAACGATGAAGATGGATGGATGGTTTGGTCATGATACCTGCTTGGCTTTCGTTTTTCTTGTTTTATTATTCTGTTCGGATAACATGTTTGAACGGTTACGTCTATGGGTGTGGGCTTTTTCCGGTTCGGTTGGTATTGATTGCTATGATGGCTTGATGCTTGGTTGCTTGTAGTTTATGCGATTACCCCTTTAGAACGGCAGAGCAATGGATGATAGATGATAGCACCCACGATGGCAATGGGGTTCTTTATGGGAATTCACCAGGCTACGTGTCAAATTACTTGTTGCTTTTACTTTACTGATCTTGGCTGGTGACCGGGTGATTTTTTTGCTCGCCTGGCAAAGATGAACTATGCTCACCTGCTCGTGTCCCGTGCCGAGTGTGCTGCAGTGTCCTTGAACGATTTCGTAGAGGTAGATCTGGCCCATTCATCACCGCACTCTCATCAACCGTAACCTCTAAACCAAATAAATCGACATCTCCAGTCACGTAAGAGGTATGTATATTGCCTGCATGCGTGTAGGTATGCAGTACAATCCCGGGCGCGGCATCAGTATTAGTATTGGGGTGCAGTACCGAAGCAGTACCGAAGCAGCCGAGTGGTATGTAGTGAAGTCCGAAAATTACACGCGAGCATTGAACAGTTGGTCATTTGAATTCGATTTGACTACGGCTTGCTCTGGTCAGGTAGAGGTAGGCACATGCAAGGCCGGTACAAAACTGGGATATGCCGTGTACTACCTGGTAACTTGGAAGTCTGTCGGCTGCAGTATCTGAAGTATTTGTTCCTCTAGGCACGCTGCTCATGCACACATGCCTACACAAGGTAGTGTACAGGTATCCAGAAAGTTTTTCTATAGTATATGTCTGCATACCTAGGTACATATGCATGTGTACTGAGCCCTATGGCCCCCGACCGACTGGAGGCCCGAGCATTAGGTAGCTCCGTTCGTCCATCAGGGTGCAGTACCCCCTGAAGGTAGGCGTGCATTAAGATGACTGGACCGTGCAGCGACCCGTGTGCACCAGATCTGGACGCCAGAACCAGCACGACCGACACGACTCGGACACTCGACGTTTTGGTCCCCTTTGCACTGGTTTGTGAGAAAAACAAAAAGATCAGGGGATGAACCGGGGAAAGAGGTCTTGAAACCTCCTTTTTTTTGATTTTTTTTTTTTTTTTTTTTTTTTTTTTGTTGGAATGCAAAACCTACCTTCTATGAGCTGCTTAGTAACACCAGTTCCAATCAGTCAAGTGCATGGATCAGGGGGGGGGGGGGGCAAACCAAAAAGAAAAGGACAACATGCGGGAACAAAACCAACTGTTAGCGAAGAGAGGATGCTCATGTCTTCATCATTCATGTTTCTACTTTCTACCAGCCAGGTGGCTGCATACCTCTAGTTAGTCCCTCGGTGTTCGGCGGTAAACATACAAGTAGAGCTCGGCTCGGCTCCAGTCTTTCTTGCACCCTTTGTTTCCCCTCCTCCTGACACGTTTGTCTGATCAGTCGTCAAGCAGAGATTTCAAGATGAAGTGCAGATTCTAGCCTTGCAGATGCGCATAAGGGAGGGCTTCGGAACACTCGGCTGTCCGCGAAGCAAGGCTGCGAACATGAGGTACTAGGGTATCTAGAGGTGACGTATTACCTTTTTGATACCTCTACTTGCGTTGTTTCTATACCTATGTGCTCGCATCCAGTGCAGCAAAGTCGGAAACGGCGAATTTCAATAGTTGTCCTTATGTCTCGTTGCCTTACGGCAGTAGCTCGGAAGACTCGTTGTCCGATGGCTGATGCTTGACTAGGTACCTACCTCTAGGTAGGTAGAGGTATGCTCGAGTTTTCATCAGCCATCGCTCCTTCCGATGAGCGCCGAACTGTTTGGAAGCTACCGTCCGACCTTGCCTCCGACTGTTCTTGAGCCTCTCTGGTGCATGAAGTCCATGCCTACCTCTACATGTATAGACACGTATGAATAGAAGCATTGCAGAGATCATGGAAAGCTCTCTCCAACTTCCAAGGAATCGCTCAGTCAAGTACCATGCAATGCAAAGGCGAGAAAGAACAGTGATACCTGTCTTCAACTACTAGTAGGCAACGTGCAGCCAAGGTCTGATTACAGACGTGTTTTGTTTTTCCCTTTCTCTCTAAATTTCTTATAAAAGAACGGACTCCCCCTGCTCCCTTCCAAGATCCAAGGTACTCGTCAACTCATCGTCTCTCCTCTCACTCCATTAGTTCACTTTCAGAGTCAACTCTCCGCACCCATCTTCCAACTCCAACATTATCGAACTCAACATCGAAGTCTCTGCACCAAAATTCCAACTCCAACAACTCGACATTGCAAATTTAAAAAACCTTCTTCAAATCACATCCATCTCTCTTTCCACAATGTACTCTACACGTAACAACAAGCAGCAGGTGGTGGGCTTCTCGAACCCTCAAGCCCAACTCGCGCCTTTCTTTGGTCCTGGCATGGGCCCATCACCTCTGGTCGTTGGTTCTGCCCCTGTTTTGCCTGCGGCCATGTTCTCTGAGCCGGTTCATCCGGTTTCCCCGATTCTCCCCCTCGGTCCCCCCCGCCAGCATGAAGGTTACGAGAAAAGGACGAAGGGATTAAAGAGGCCGGATCAGCCTCATCGGCCCATTCCTCCCCCTTGTGAGGAGCCGGCAGAGGTGACCGTCAAGTTGGCCACCTGCAAAAATACAGCCAACTATGCCGGACGCGTGGTTGGGAGTATCAACCCTCTTTGGACGGTTGCTGAGCTCAAGCAACATTTCGAGCTCCAGGCCAACCTCGGTGGGATCCCCGCCAACAAGCAGGCCCTCCGGATGGAGCGTCCTGCGGTTCCAGGGTTCGATTCTGCAGAGTCTCTGGACGATGTCGTTGTCCTCAAGTACATTGGGGTTGACCGGGGTGCTCCGGTCTGTGTCATTTGGCTAGAGCGTCGCATGGAAAGTGGTGGTATTCCGGCCATGACTGTGGCTCCAGCCGGGGCTCCGACTGGCCTGCAGCAGTTGTTCCCGTTTTCGACCTCCGACGGGAATCAAGTCCAACACCATGTGCAGCTTCAACTCCAACAACTCCAGCACCAACAACAACAACAACTCCGGCATCAACTACAGCTCCGACAACAAGTCCAATACCAACAGCGGGTACGGCAGCGTGTTCTCCAAGAGGAGAAAAACACCGTTACCGGCTTCCAAGGCCCTATCGTGAGGCCAAGCCAGCTACGGAGCGGTGGTGCTGTGGCTGGAGTTGTTGGTCCGACTCCCCAGGAAGCACCCAGACAGGCTGGGTCCAATGAACCTGCAGGTTTAAGACAACGAGAACCTCCGCAAGCGTGGCGCCAGTCAAACCACCATCAACAACGGCATCACCCTTTTCAGAGGCCGAAAGACCAACACCGGGTCAGCAAACCGCAGGGGCAACGTTCCAAGCCACAGCAGCAGCAGCGAGCTCTCCCAGCGGAGAATTCTGTGGTGACGCTGGGGCTGCCAGGGGGTGGTGAAGTTCATGCTCCGTCTCGGGGAGCTCCTGCTGTGTTTGGTCTGGAGGCCAGATCGCTGGTGTGGCAGGATAGAGTCAGTGCCACCGAGCTGAAGCAATACCAGCAGCAACGTGAACCCCAGCAAACCCTGGGGCAGATGTGGGCGGATATTGATGACTCCCCTATTGTCGTCGACAATGGACATGAAATCGACGACGACAACGGTTTTCTCAACGTCCTGCGTCACATCCGTCCGGAATCCGACGTCTCTGCCATTATTAATGGCTCTCGGATTCTGACCCAGCGGCGGCAGCGACAACCGCAATGAACCAGCAACAGTTGTTGGCAGCTGCTGCTACTGTCAATCAGATCGATCCTGCCCACAATTACTACCCATCGAGGAGGGAAACTACCTACCTACCTGGTCGAGCAACCTCACTGGGAAACGCTACCTTGGTGATGATTTTGATGGCAGGTTGGGATAGCAATGAGCCACGAATACGAACAAATTATCATAGGAACAAGGTTTGATGACATGGACGAAGACACAATCTCTTTCTTTTTCTCATAGGTACACACATGCATGTACGAATAGCTAGGTACCTCTACCCACCACTACAGATTTCTACTTTCCATCAAGAGCAAGCATACCGGTTGCTAAAGAAAAAACAGCAGTCAGCAGAGGAAGACACTAGTTGGGGAGGAGCAGATCCGTACGGCACGCCAAATCTCTGAATGAACAAGGCCAAAATACGCTCCTGCTTGATGCGAAGTGAAAGGGAGCCAGTATACAACCCCCAGGGCCAGCCGCCTTTTTTCTCAACAAAGACTCTCTGTGGAGGGCATTTCACCACTCCAGAACCTTTGAGGTGGGCAAGGATCGCCTTGCGATATCCATCGGCCATGTTAAAAGCCGACATGAGCCTTTGAAGAGTGTCAACGTCGTCTGGGAGTCGCCACTCGAGGTACATCAGGCCAGCTACAGGAGGATGCTTGAGGGAAAAGATCTCCACCTCCCTGGCAAAGACGTGGTGACAAGAGTCGTATTCGATTCCTTGGAGGCTGTCTTCCGGGAGCGGATCAGCTGAAAGATTGATAAAAACTTCTACTTTCCATCACCATCTCATCCAGCCACTCCGTCGTCCACAACACATCAAACCCTTGTTCCCTCCTACAAACTACCTGCGGTCGTTCGGTGGGTTGTACTTCCATCTCCATCAATCTTCTGGGTCAACCGACAACATTTACTCAGCCACCAGCTTCGTATCCCAAGACCGTAACAGGGCAAGCTGCGCGTTGCCGTCTACGCCCAGTCTCTTTCATCATCCACAATGTCCAATCAAGGCCAAGCCACAAAGTTGCTCGGACCTCAGCCCGGACGTGCAGTACAGCAACACCACGAGGTGGTGGACGCTGAAACATACCTACCTACACAACATCCGCACAACACATAGCCCTCTGTCCATAACAGGTTTGGCAACCGGTGGCGGTAAAGTTCATTCATCTTTTGGGAGATGCGCATGCAGACCAGCAACGGAACTGTTAGTCACATCACCTCGACATTCCCATCGGGCCTTACATGTATCCCGTAGACGTTTTTCTGTCACCGGGGACATAGGTAGCGAAGGCTGAAGTAGTAGGAATGGGCACGGCAAGGGTGACATTTCAGCTCTAGATCTTCAGTCCATCCTCATCCAGTTGATCAGGCCTGATACTGACATTCAAATTTGCAATGATTTTTCACCTGTAGGTACGTTTCAGTTCAGTTGAGTACATGCAGGGTACTACCTAGAGGTAGGTGTCATCCAGTGTCTACACTGCCAGGGAGTCATCTTTTCATCTTCTTTCTTCAGCTTTTTTTACCTGGATACCTAGATAGCTCTAGGTCTCCGTCAGTGGATCCTTTTTTGTTTTCTTTTTTTTTTCTTTTTCTTTTTTGCACGAAACTCGCTATGGGTTCGTTACCTCTGCAGGCCGCTTCACCAACAAGCCCCTCTCTAGCACAGGGCAGATACAGGCACATTAGCACAGGATCAAGCAAGTAGAGAGGACAGGAATGACGTCTTGAGCCTGTCTGTTTCTTTTTTTTTTAATTTTCTTTTTTTTTCCTTCTTTTCTCTTCTTTTCTTCCGACCCTCCTGGTCATCAATATGACGGCCAACATCATCATTATCACTGAGAAAGAGCTTTCTGTACCTTACACTACCTGAAGGTCTGAGAGGACAAGGCAGGGTAACTTGCAGATTGACTCGGTAGGTACCTACAATAGTGCAGTGTCTGTTCTGTGGGACTGGTCACTACCTGGGTAGGTAGTTGGGTGTAAGGGGAGATAGAACCAAAAAGAAGAATAGATTTGTTTACTTGCCTACCGTTCGACATGAGATGTTGGAGAGATAATATGGGCACAACTTTTTCAGTCATGTCGTATTATTGGTGTTTATTTGATTCGGTTCAGTTGTGGTTTGGATAGGTACACATTGGTCGAAGGGTTCATTTTGCCTGGGAATTCGCGTCAGCAAGGGGAGGATCGAACCGGTGGGAGATTATCAGGATGGCTTCCGCTTTTGTTAAAGTTACCTCTGAACAGTTCAAAAGAAAGGCAAACGACCATTTTTACACCGAATACCCTGCCAAAATGGAATCTTATTTCACAGTGTCTGCCCTCGATGTTGTCTTGCCGTCTACGGGTGTAAGGGATTTGTCTCGGCAGCGAAACTGGTCCCAGCTGAATCCAGTGTCCGCAGCAAGCAACACCGGGCGAAATACGGATGTTGGGATGGAGTATGATGCTTTGATTCTCATTAAGTTCGTTATCTAATAATGATTAGGTACCTTACTTTACTTTACTCATGTTCCGCCCATGCCATCCATCCCTCCAGTCCATGCCAGTTCCGATTCCATCCCATCGCCTACCTAATATACAACCAAAACAAAGTTGAAAGGAAGAAAAAACTAGAGAAAAAACGCCCGCTGTGCCATTACCAAACCGTCTACATCTCCTCTCATTATTCACAACACCTTTCTCCCCCACCGCCCCTCTACTCGTAAGCCGCAAGCTCCCCCCTCCACAAATCAGACCAATTAGTTACCGCTGCGGCACCACGGGCGTAGGCGGCATATTCCTGATTTGCTTAATCAAAAACTCCCTCTCATCAATAAACTGCTCGTCATCCGTCCTATCCTCCAGAAAGTGACTCAAAAAGTGCAGTAACTTTTCTCGATTCATCAACAAAATCTTTTGCACCGGCACGCTCTTGTGGGGGTTGGCGACAAACACCTTGAAGACATGGAAGCCTTCGTACTGGACCATCTTGCGGTCGTCTCGGAGCAGGTTCATGCAGATCTTGAGGTGCTCGCCGCGGTCAACGTAGGCGGTCATGACGTTGTAGTTGGATCGGTCCAAGAGGATCTCGCCGAGGAGTTTGATGGATTGGCGCTTGGTGACGTACGAGGTGGACTGGATTAGAATGGAGTTGTATTTGGAGAAGAAAAGGTCAAAGTTAGTTTGGAGGTAGTGGGGGACTAGGTCTTTGTGTTTTGTGAGGAGTTCCTGCAACATTGCATTTTGCCTTGTTAGTGAATCATGCCGAAAGAGGGCCGAGGGGGGAGGGTCAAGGGGAGACGAAAAAAAAAAAAGAGAAACACATACCCGGAAGGTAGTAAAGGCATCAGCCGCCACTTCAAACGAGCCCCTATCTATCCAGTCAAAGAAGGACCAAAATATCCCGTTGCCCGTCTGCTTCCTGTTCCTATCAATGGCCCCGACTCCCCGCGCACTCGACCCTGGCTCGTCGCCGTCGTCGTGCAGAATCACGGCCGTGGCGGCCTCACTGCTCTTGATGAGCTCTTTCAGAACGGTACCCGCGTGTTGTGCGCTTTCCTTGTGGTCGTAGCCCTTGCACAGCTCAATCAGGACCTGGGGCCGTCTTTCCACCACGTAGGCGAGGGCAAGCGGTTCGGCGCGGGCGGGCGCGTTGGGTGGGCGGAAGCGGAAGACGTAGGAGAAGATGACTTGGGTGTCTTTTCGGGAGTCGAAGGGGAGGCGGTAGAGGTTGATGGCAAGGAGATACAGGAGGTCTTCTTCGATCATGCCGGTGACCAATTGGTATTGGTGTTCGAGGGACGCTTCTTGTTCTGGTGTAGACAAAGTGTTGGTCAGTCAACCACCGGTGGACACATATGGGTTTGGATAGGATATCGATATGGGTATAAGTATGACATACCATGGGTCCCTTGTAGTAACTGTTTCATTTGTGATAGTACTTTGGCCAGCTCCTCCACCTTTCCCTGGGGACCCTGATCGAGCTTGACGACATGTTCGCGGGCTTGTCGGGGCAGATCGCTGACGTTGGTTCTTGTCCTTGCTCTCCCAAAGAGGAATGACATTTTGGTCTTGGATGAGTAGAGGTAGGTACCGTGGAAGTCGGAATGGGCGTCGAGAGTAGTAGAGTGCCGTATGATGTGTGTGTTGTCCAAGGAAGGGAGGAAAGCGTCGGAGAGTCAACAACAGTGAGAGGAGTCCGGGCCGTCGGTCGTGACTTGGTTGGTGTCGCGACAACGAAGCGGATCGAAGAGCGACGGGACGGAGTGGTGGTCAACAAGGTGTTTGGATGGATGCATGTCCAGGGGTCTGGCCAGTGGAAATTGTTAAGCTCAGGCCCTGCACTTCCCATGCGGGTATATTTGTTAGCCCACGACCTTTGGTCAGCCTGACTGGGGTGTCTCTACACTTTCAATCCACGCCTCCTTATTTCTATCAAGTGTCTGATGGAATATGACTTGTAGGTACCTACATACTAAGACACTGATGGCGTATATTTAACTTTATACTTCCATCCATTCAGCCATATTAAAGAGTGAGTCCTTCTACTTTTGGAGACGGAATCAAAAGGGTGGTGCTTGGAGTATCAGAAGTATCCAGCTAACAGACACATTGGATTGAGAGAGTGCCTGGATGCAGGGACACAGCGGGAACGATGCGTTTATTGAGAGAAATGTAAAAGTGTTAGTGAGTACTCAAATTCACACCCCATTTGCAATAGCAAAAGATGTCTCTCGTATCTCAGCAACACCAACTGAACCCCGCAAACCGCCCGTCCCATCTGTTTCTTGCCCCTCTGTTTTACTATCGGATTGCCGCCCGCCCCCCCACCACCAATCCGCAGCGGCCGGTCGCATTGTTCTGGAATTCCACTTGGAAGAAGTCCGTCGACTTTCTCCAAACGAGTCACACTCCCGCGCGCCCGTCTGCCTTTTTCCCCGACACTTCGCGGCGACAGGAACGTACATAGAGGTGAGTCAGGTCCCGTTGTCTATACACTACTTACACTACTGCTCCAAACCCCTCTTTTTTCTGTCACATAGCTAGTCTGTCTGTTTGCGACTCAAGTAGAGAGCAGCGCATATCAACAACAGACTTGGGGAAAACTCTTTCCGTTCTCAAGGTCTCAACACCAAGAGACACCATCATCACCATCACCACCACCAAACTAGCTAACTAACACCCAATACCCCAGGCCACTCTCAACGTCCGCCCACCATGTCGATCGATTTCCCCAAGGAAGAGGAAAACACCATCCAGCGATGGCGCGAGATCAAGGCCTTTGAGACCCAGGTCGAGCTGTCCAAGGGCAACCCGCTCTACACCTTCTACGATGGCCCGCCCTTCGCCACCGGCCTCCCCCACTACGGCCACTTGCTGGCCTCGACCATCAAGGACATCATCCCCCGATACTGGTCCATGAAGGGCTTCCACGTCGAGCGCCGCTTCGGCTGGGACACGCACGGCCTGCCCATCGAGCACGAGATCGACAAGAAGCTGGGCATCTCGGGCAAGGCCGCCGTCATGGAGATTGGCCTCGAGAACTACAACGCCGAGTGCCGGTCCATCGTCATGAGGTATCGCGAGGAGTGGCGCCACACGGTCGAGCGTCTCGGTCGCTGGATCGACTTTGACAACGACTACAAGACCATGGACCCGACCTTCATGGAGTCCGAGTGGTGGGTCTTCAAGCAGCTGTTCGACAAGGGCCAGGTCTACCGCGGCTACCGCGTCATGCCTTACTCGACCGCCCTCACCACCGCCCTCTCCAACTTCGAGGCCAACCAGAACTACCAGGACGTCACCGATCCCGCCGTCGTCGTCGCCTTCCCCTTGATCGAGGACCCCAACACCTGCCTCCTTGCCTGGACCACCACGCCCTGGACCCTGCCCTCCCACACCGGCCTGGCCGCCCACCCCGACTTTGAATATGTCAAGATCGCCGACGAGAAGAGCGGAAAGAACTACATCCTGCTCGAGAAGCTCTTGACGACGCTCTACAAGGACCCCAAGAAGGCCAAGTTCAAGGTGCTCGAGAAGATCAAGGGCAAGGACATGCTCGGCTGGAAGTACGAGCCCCCCTTCAACTACTTCTACGACGAGTACAAGGACGTTGCCTTCAAGGTCCTCAACGCTACCTACGTCACCGACGACAGCGGTACCGGTATTGTCCACCAGGCCCCCGCCTTCGGTGAGGACGATTACAACGTGGCCGTCGAGGCGGGTATCGTCACCGAGAAGCGCCCCCCTCCCGACCCGGTCAACGAGACGGGTCACTACACCGACCGCGTCTCCGATTTCGCCGGCATGCACGTCAAGGAGGCCGACAAGCACATCATCAAGCACCTCAAGAACTCGGGCAAGCTCGTTGTCGAGTCTCAGCTCAAGCACTCGTACCCCATGTGCTACCGCTCCGACACGCCCCTCATCTACAAGGCCGTGCCCTCATGGTTCATCCGCATCCCCGACATCATCCCCCAGATGTTGAAGAACATTGAGGGCTCCCACTGGGTCCCCTCGTTCGTCAAGGAGAAGCGTTTCGCCAGCTGGATCGCCAACGCCCGTGACTGGAACGTCTCACGTAACAGGTACTGGGGTACTCCCATCCCTCTGTGGATGAGCGACGACGGCGAGGAGATTGTGTGCATTGGCAGCATCGAGGAGCTCAAGCAGCTTTCCGGCTACGAGGGCGAGATCACCGATCTCCACCGTGACAAGATCGACCACATCACCATCCCCAGCAAGCAGGGCAAGGGTGTCCTCAAGCGTGCTGAGGAGGTCTTTGACTGCTGGTTCGAGTCTGGTTCCATGCCCTACGCCTCCCAGCACTACCCCTTTGAGAACGTCGAGAAGTTCGAAAAGTCATTCCCCGGTGACTTCATTGCCGAGGGTCTTGACCAGACCCGTGGTTGGTTCTACACCCTTCTTGTCTTGGGTACCCACCTCTTTGGTGTCTCTCCTTTCAAGAACTGCGTCGTCAACGGTATCGTGCTTGCCGAGGATGGCAAGAAGATGTCCAAGCGTCTCAAGAACTATCCCGACCCTACTCTTGTCATGAACAAGTATGGTTCGGATGCCCTCCGTCTGTACCTTATCAACTCTCCTGTTGTGCGTGCCGAGCCGCTCCGCTTCAAGGAGGCTGGTGTCAAGGAGGTCGTTGCCAAGGTTCTCCTTCCTCTGTGGAACTCGTACAAGTTCTTCGAGGGCCAGGTTGCTCTCCTCAAGAAGGTGGAGAACGTCGACTATGTGTTTGACCCCAAGATGGAGTCTTCCAACGAGAACGTGATGGACAAGTGGATTCTTGCTTCGTGCCAGTCCCTGCTCGAGTTTGTCAACGAGGAGATGAAGGGTATGTCGTTCCCCTCCCTTTTTTGTTGTTAAAGTTCAATGCTAACACTACGTCCAGGTTACCGCCTCTACACTGTTGTCCCTCGCCTCCTCGAGCTCATCGACAACACTACCAACTGGTACATCCGCTTCAACCGCAAGCGTCTCAAGGGTGAGAACGGTCTCAACGACACCCTCCACGCCCTCAACACGCTCTTCGAGGTCCTCTTCACCCTCTGCCGTGGCCTCGCCCCCTTCACTCCCTTCCTTACCGACACCATCTACCTCAAGCTCCTTCCCCACATTCCCAAGGAGCTCCAGGCCAAGGACCCCCGCTCCGTGCACTTCCTCCCCTTCCCCGAGGTTCGCAAGGAGCTCTACAACCCCGACGTCGAGCGCCGCGTGCAGCGCATGCAGAAGGTCATCGAGCTCGCCCGATACTCGCGCGAGAAGCGTTCGGTCGGTCTCAAGCAGCCCCTCAAGACCCTTGTTGTCATCCACCACGACGAGCAGTACCTTGCCGACATCGAGTCGCTCAAGGGCTACATTACCGAGGAGCTCAACGTGCGCGACCTGGTGCTCACTTCAGACGAAGCCAAGCACGGCGTTCAGTACTCGGTCTCGGCCGACTGGCCTGTGCTCGGCAAGAAGCTCAAGAAGGACATGGGCCGCGTCAAGAAGGCTCTTCCCTCGGTCACCTCGGATGAGGCCCACGCCTACACGCAGACGGGCAAGCTCGTTGTGGACGGCATCACGCTCGAGGCGGGCGACTTGGTGGTCAAGCGCGGTCTCAAGGAGGACGACAGCTCTAAGAACCTCGAGACCAATACGGACAACGACGTGCTCACCATTTTGGACGTGGAGATCTACCCCGGCCTGGCGGAGGAGGGTCTGGCGCGTGAAATCATCAACCGTGTGCAGAGGCTGCGCAAGAAGGCCGGTCTCCAGCCGACGGACGATATCAAGATGGAGTACAAGGTGACGGCGGACCCCGAGGAGACGGGTATTGAGAAGGTGTTTGACACGCAGATGGCCATGATTGAGAAGGCGCTCAGGAGGCCGCTGGATAAGCACGAGGTGACGCATGTGGAGGGCAAGATTCCGGCGGAGAAGGAGGAGGGCATCATTATGGAGGAGGAGCAGGAGGTTGGCAAGGCTACCTTCTTATTGAGGTTGTTGAGGCTTTAAGTTTAAAGTTTACACAAGTAGAAAAGGTTGTCGATGTGACGTGGGAAAAGTTCAAGCGAGTCAAAACATGTGTGGGATAGACTAGCAATGATGGATGATGGATGATGAAATGTTCAAAAAAGATTTCTGGTACTTGATGTCTTGTGGTTTACCTAGAGGCAGACTAGGTAAGCTATGCTTTCTTGGCGGCCAACTGTGTGTGTGTGTGTGAATTACCATCATGTCAGCTTTGCCCCCCTTTGAGGAAGTGGTTCAAGTAAATAATGAAGGTGGGGAAGTACACACCAAGTAACAATCCTTCAAGCGCATAAACTCCTTGACGCACATGTCCTTGTGGACGGAGTTGTAGTCTGCTAGGATGCATTTGCCGTAGGCGGCGGACTGCGTGTGGGTGTGCCAGTTTCAGTTGATTGAGTGTTTATGGAAGAAGAGACATGGGAATAGCTTCACTCTTACCTCGACGGAGCACTTGGACACGGCCGAGGCAAACCGCTGGATGGGACGGACGGTGGTTTTTGGTGGCTGCATGTTGACGTTCCGTCTAAGTGCTTTGTCTTTCGATCTCGACGAGAAGGTGTGATTCAGGTGTAGTGGTTGACTGGGAGATTCTCGATGTAGATAGCCTCGCTTTGGAGGCGATGACACTCGTGACGTTGGCGTTCTTCTTCCCCTTCTCTTCACACTCAGTTTATTGTTAGGAAGATACCTTGCTTCAGGCCGAAGAGTCCTGTATGGCTGAGGTCTCCGTTCATCTGATCTCAATGCACTAGCTCAGGTTATTGTTCCCGTCACTAGCGGCAGCGCGCCAAGCAGTGCAGTGCGTCTAATTGATACTAGACTAACAACTTTGGCAGCAGTTGAAGCTGTATTCTGTTAGCATTGGTAATCACAGCCTGCACCTTTTATGGTACCGGGCAATGCTGGGCTCTTCCCGCTGCCCGCCGTGCGCACGCGTCTCCATCGCATTGGGCTTCCTCCCTTCCCTTGCTTCCACTTGAGGTTCCTTCTCCGCACTGCAGTCAGTGGTTGGTTGCCCGTCCAGCGGTCGCATCTCAGTTCGTTCCATGTTGTGCGTGTTTGTGTCTCCTCCACGACAACATATTTGCATCACCACCACCAACTCCACGCTACTTGCGATACCTCTGCACTACATTCTCCCGCTTCGACGGGAAGAAGCACCAGCAGCAATAACCGCAATCGCAAAACTTCCATCTCAGCGAAAACCCCCGTCGATACCTACGTTCACATCCCCGTTCGCAACCTCTGCAGCTTTTGCCCAATTTGCCTTGCTCATCTCGAAACCTCCGGCCGGTGATGGTGATTTTTTCCCAGTCGAATGCCCGATAAACGAAACCTTGTCTTGTATACCCAAGGGTGTCCGTTGTCGTCAAAGTGAAATTGGAATTGGAATTGGAATTGCGACAACCCACCAGACCACTTTTTGTTATCATCAAGCGCGCTCTCGATTCTCGGCCTAGCACAACATCGCCAGTTTTTCGGCCCATCGCAGTCGCAGTCGCAGTCGCATCCTTACTTACCGACCCTAGAGCCCTATAAGCTTAGCATTACACTACGGCATTCAACAGTCGCGAAGAATACAACAAATTGCCCACGCCTATCCAACCGTTGTACGAGGGCGCATACACCGTGCTTTGACCAGAGTCGGGATTAGGCTTTCCATAGTCATGCCTTGGAGGTGGCGGCGCCCTCTCACATGCCGCCTCCATCCTCTCTGCCCCTCCACCACCGAGATGGCAGGGCCGGGCTACCACAGTCATCCTCCTCTTCGCGACAGCAGGCCGGACTCGGAAATCCCAATATCAGCAACAGCAACAACAACAATGGCGGTGCCAAGGCCAACGCCAATACCAGCTTCCCCCCACAAGCTCAAGCGCAAGCTCACAGCAATGAGCCCTACTACTCTAATGAAGGTCCGCTTCTTTTCCCCATCTCCCCTTCTCTCTCTCTCTCTCTCTCTCTCTCTTCTTGCCCTTCCCAGCAGTTAACACAGGCAACCCGGGGGCACAACAGACATCGAGCTCCTCCACGAAATCGTCACCCTCGCCGAGTCCATCCTCCCCTCCCTGCCTGAGCGCGACCGGCTCCCCACGAACGCGCTCTTCCAAGCCGCCGAACAGATCCTCCCCGCCCATGGCTACCCAGATCCGGACCAGGCGCCCTCGCATATCTCGCGGCTTATCTTTAAGATTGGGGGCCAGCGATGCGCTCCGAACTCGAAAGGGGAAACCAGTTTGCTGGATCGGTTTCGAGCCGTCTTAGCGGGTATGGGCATCATGTTGGAGTATGTGCCTAGTAGTCCGGTGGTGGGAGGGAGGAGTCGGGACCAGTCGCCTGCTGGCCCACCAGGAGCGGGCGGAAGAGGGGGGTTGGGGACGGCGCGGGATAAGGCTGCTGGATCCAGGTCGAGGAGTGTCTCGGTTTCGGGCAGATCGCTGGGCGGGTTCTCGTCAGTCTTTAGTGATGACGACGAGGACGTGACGGGCGGCGAACTCGATATCAAGTTACGACGGTTACTGCCGAAAAGGAGACACAGTTCCGTTTCGAGACCGCTTGCGCTTGGAGGACTACCGATTCGGTCAAGGGCTCGGTCGGCGAGTTTTACGGACCCCAATGCCTTGCCTGGGGACACGCTTAGGGGCGAGAGGGCTAGGAGACTGGAAGTGCTGGCGCAACAACGGGAACAGCAGCAGCGAGAAAGGGAGCAGCTCTTGAACCGAAGGGGGAGGTCACCAGAGAAAGGCCAAGGGAGGAGGAGTCAATTGGCTTCGAGGTCCAAGAGTTCGGTCCGCGAGTACGGCGATGATGGACGACCTTTTCAACCGCATAACCCCGTGCTGGACAAGGTCAAACACATCCCTCGTGTATTCGGCGCACCGCATCACTACGACAATGCGGAAGTTGCCGCCGGCGCCTTGCCCGCTTACGCCAGACCGAACAAAGAACGGCCACGGCCCATATCCTTCTCCTCCGTAGGCGAAACTGACCTTAACCACAAATCCCCGCGAACCGATTTCTCCGAACTCCATCGCGCAACCAGTGACACCACCGTCAACACCAAAGACGAGCCCCTGCCTAGCAGTCACCACCATGCCTTTACGCGTCCACCACACCTCGACCCCGAATACCAAGAAGCAAAAGTGCGCATGTTCCGAACCGAAGACAACGCCTTCCTCCTCCGCGACGCCTTTACGTCATGGCACGACCACTTTAACCGGATCCAGCGGGATCATCACCGCCTGCTTTCTCTCGCGACGCAAATCGACGACGAAGACATCAAGACCGAGGTCCTGGAGATATGGCTCGAGGAAACGATCGCCGTTGTCGAAGAGCGCGAGCGCCACGAGGCAGAAGCGGAATATGAAGCGTGGGTTGACAGGATGGAGCGGCGCGCCACGAGGGTGTACGAGGTTTTCACGATTCAGAACATGCTGAATTTCTGGCAGGATCAAGCACGCGAGGAGCTGGACCGTACCGCGGTTGCGAGACGGCATCTGGTACGGAAAAGGGCGTTCGATGCCTGGAGGGCGCAGCATATCCAGGACGAGACAAAGGCGAGGAACTTTGTGCTGATCCATGCGCTGCAAAGGTGGACGGCCGTGGCGCTTCATCAGGAGGTTAGACGGCATGTTGCTGAGCAGACGGAGGAAAGGGAGACGATGAGGGAAGGGTTGATGCACTGGTATCGGCTGCAAAAGGGGAGGGTGGCGGATGATTATGCCGTGTTCAAGGCGATGAAGGGGAGTCTGACGCACTGGACTTCGAGGACAAAGGATGTCCAGGATGATCATGAGGTGGCCATCGCCTTGGATGAGAGACTCCTTCTCGACGAGGCGGTTAATATCTGGCAAGAAGAGGCCGAGGATCTCAGGTACACGGGGTACAAGTGCAGAGGGTACAAGGTTACACGGGACTGTCAGATTATCCTGGCGGATTGGCACGAGCAGAGCCGACTGTTGCGGACACTTAGAAAGTTTCGCGCGGCTGATGAGCGCACGCTCAAGTGGAACTGTCTCGAGCATTGGCAGGAAGAAGCCGAGTACGCCCGGCGGGACGGTCTGCTGGCTGACGCCGTGCTTCTTCTTAACCCCGTGGACACCTGGAAACTGGAGCTGAAGCTGAAACTTTGGAATATTCGCGAAGACGAAGAAACTCTCGAAGACACTTTAACTCACTGGTTCTTGGAGCAGCGTCTGGCCTTGTTCCAGCACCACGCTGCCTCTACCACCAAGAAATCCACCCTTTCAACCTGGCTCGACGCCACCCAAACCTCCCTGTCCGTCTGCCAACGCTCCGAGTCCGAAGCTGACTACTTCTACTCCGACCACCTCCTCTCCTCGTGTTTCTCAACCTGGTTCGACGCCTCTAACGCCATCTTCACCCCCCGCCACAACGCCAACCTCATCTGCCTCTACCGCACCACCAAGCCCTGCTTGGACCGATGGCGCGAAGCCCTCGTCTCCTCCACCACGCGCAATGCTTACTACGCCCGCAAAGCCTCGAAGCAATCTAAGCGCTTCACCATCGCCTCTGTCCTCGACCGCTGGCCTTTCTTGGCCGAACAAGCCCGTCGCGAAAGAATGATGACATCCCTGCGCTCCTTTCGCCACTCCTACAAGATCTCCCTAGCCCAGTCCTGTCTGAGTACCTGGTTCAACGCCCTCTTGGAAGCCGACGACCTGTCAGCAGACGCTGACGCCCTCCACCTCGATCACAACCACTCGGACCTGTACGAAACTCTTGGCTATTGGTCTTCCATTGCCCGGAGAGCGCAAGAGATAAGGGAGACTGCCGCCGATGCCGAGCTAGACACCTACTTGGAAAACTGGATGGACAGCGCGGCAGAGATGAGGGAGGCAGAAATGGACGCCGAAGAATGGGAAGCCGTGGGGACGATGAAGGGGTGTTTGCAGAGGTGGGAGCACGAGGCGCTGCATTTGGTTGCTAAGAGGAATGCGGTGAAGGCGCTGAGGGAGAGGGAGGAGAGGCGGATGGCGGCGGGCGTGTTGGAGGGGTGGTGGGCGGTTGTCAATCCCGGGGCTGTGGTTAGAGAACGACAGATGGGGGCAGAGTTTAGTATGCTTGATCCGAGGATGAGTACGTTGTTGAGTTCGAGGAGGAGTGTGAGGCATATGGGGGGACGGTATCGGGACCGCGAAAGGGGAAGCGGTGATGTATCTGCGGCAAACTTTGGCAATAGTGTTAGCCAGTGGTTTGTCAATTCGGAGATGCCGCCTGAGCGGGAGAGGGAGAGGGATCGGTCGACGTTTCTTTTCCCTTCGGCAGCACCGATGAGACAGTCTGTTCAGCTTCCTATCCGATCTGCTCCCCCATCAGCAGCTGCCCAGCAACCCGCTCAACCACCACCAAAGGTACCAAAAGGCTATCAACCATACCACCCCAACCCCGACCCTCCCGCTACTGCTTCCTACTCCCGCCCCGCAAGTCGCACAGCAAGTCGACCCGCCAGTAGACTCGCGGCTCCCACCATACCCGAGACTCCGATGGTCTCATCATCAGCAGCACCCATCGAGCAAAAACCAACAACAGGCCGAAGCTCGGACATGCGTCCGACGAATTTATCTGCTCGGCTGGTCAACGCGCGGAATAACCCTTCCAGCTCCTCATTTCGGGCAAGCCAGACCCTAGCAGCAGAGGCTAGTGCTCTCAGCGGCGTCGGCGGCGGCCTGGGACCGATGAACTTTGACGACGACGACGACGACGAGGAGTCGTTCCTCCCTGATTTAGACATTAACGATCCAGGGTTCATGAGCACGCCTAGTAGAGTTAGGCGAGCGCCGCCTCTGGGGCGACATGCGTCGCAGTCTGTGCCGCCGATTGTGCCGCCGCCGGTTGTGCACGGGCAGGCGCAGGCGCAGAGCACTACGGTATTTTCTTCTCAGTACCAACCCACCCTAACAACAGACGACAACCACGGCACCTCAAGACCAGACCGACCAGAACGTTTCAACGCCCGCAAATCCCTCTTCCGCCCTTCCACTGCTCCTCCCCCATCCAACCACAACAACTACCACTACCCGCCCTTTCAAGGACCACCAACAGCCCCTTCCACCTCCATGTCGGTCGGCACCAGTACCCCGTCCGCGATCCTCGCTAGTCCAAGAGAACGGGAGTTAAGAAGAGTGTATGCGGAACCTAGCACCTCTAGTGCTGCTGCTACGGGGGTGGGGGTGGGCAATACGTCGGGAATCCTGAGAGGGGGGAGGGAGTGGATTGATCGGGAAAGAGTGGAGAGGGAGAGGGGGGTGTTTTTTAGTGATATACGAGAGGAGAGTGCTGAGGGGTGATTGCATTAGACTGTGCTTCTTTTGGGTTGATGAGGGTTTAAAGGGAGTGTGATGTCGAGTATATTGTGTTGGATAGGTAGGCTGTGGAGGAATCGAGAAAATGACGGATGGCCAAGAGCAAGGCGTTGTCGGTTGCAATGATGAAAAAAGCGAAAAAGGGCCCGGGGGGGAGGTGTCCAAAAGCAGAAGAAGGCATGTATCCTTGGCTGACTGGTTGGCTGACACTAGCTGTCATCATCTATGTCGTTGTTGTTTTGGTGTGGTGGTGTATAGGTCATGTCGTTCTCCCTTCCTTGGACGTACGTACGTGGTGGTTTGTTGTTTTGTTGATCAGGTATTGTTGTAGCAAGGTACCTGACTACCTGACTACACTACCTACCTCTACGTTATGATATGGTAGAGGTAGGTAACATGGTAGAATAGCTAGCAACCAGTTGGATAGGTTACGCATATACCCCTGGGAATCAATCACAGAATTACAAAATCAAAATCAATTGAGAAGTAAATTGTCTAGTGCTTCGATGTTTTTTTCAGTTATTGTATTGTATTGTGTCACCATCACAGATCACTTGATTGCTTGATTGCCTGGATGACGATGTGAAGTCAATTAGTGCAATGGTGGTGTGTCCATTCCTCACTTTAAGTCATGACATCCCGCCATGTCCATCAGGTAAAAGACTCCTCACAACCTTTCGTTCCTAAGTAATCAACCAACAACTCACTTCATCAAACCGCATTCTTCTTTGGTTCCCTCTCCACGACTTTACAATGCGTAGAAGAACGTTACGTAGGTAGGATAGTTTGATTTATGCACCGACTGGGTAAGCAAACTACCTTCACCTCTATGTGCTAACTTATGAAAACAAACATGAAGGGTTAGAGAAAGTGACAATCTTAAAAAACGACCCATTTTCTCTCCTTTTCTCTCTTGCACCTATCCTATACTTGCATCCTTTACATCCATCCACCGGCATCCAACGTTATACTTAACCTACCTAACCTAACCTAACCTAACCTACCTAGGTACGCTTCACTAACCCGACATTCTACAAGTACCTGGGTGTCCAAACTATCCGTCCATTTCATTCTACCTACTCAATCTAGGTACTTACCTATTCTACTTGAAGAAACCAATACCAAACTATAAGTAAACCAAAACCAATCCAATCCAAAGCCAAATCACCTTTCCATCACCTAAGTATGTATGCATCAAGTCGCTTGTTTCACAATTTCCTACTTTCTTACTTTCAAACGCAATTTCCGCTCAGGGCTGCAAAGGTAGCTGAGCTAAGCTAAGCTAAGCTAAGCTAAGCTAAGCTACCCTCCTCTTACTCGTATTTCCCTTTCCTTCCATGTCTCTTTTGTTTCTGACTCTGTTTCTGACTCTGACTCTGAATCTGACTTGTCCGCTTCGGAATTCCGTAACTCCCTTCTGCGTCTCCGTCTCTTGTCCCTTTCAAAGTCCACCAACAGTCTTCTGGGAACAGACTTGAATGTCACAATCTCCTTAACTTCTTCTTCTTCTTCTTCTTCTCCATTACCAGTGACGACACCAGTACTATTGCGTATACAAGTAAGTCTTGGTCCTCTGGTAGCTTTTGATTCCAAGTCAATCCTAGCATGCTCGTTCTTATTCTTATTCTTATCTCTACTCCTCCGTCCAGTTCCTCCAACATTCCCTCCCTCACCCCCCTTCTCCCTGCTCCTATTCATCTCCATTTCTCCACCGTCCTGCGCCTAGCGATGCCCCGCCGTAAAACCCTGCTTACTCAATAGCACATTAACACTCTCCCGCGCATTACTCGTATCCCAAACACTCCCCTTTCCACCCCTCCTCCACTCGTCGCCCACGGGGTCTTCCACCGCCGCCCCGGCCCTCGTGGCTTCGCCCATAATCACCTCCAGATCCCGCTTCTGGCTTGACAACCAGTTCTTGACGAAGCCAACGGGGTCATTGGCCATGGAGGTCAGGAACGTATGTTTGGCCTTGGAGTCGCCAACGGCTTGTATGAGCACCGCCAGGGACTCATCTAGCTGATGAATCTCGCGGAGCGTTTGAGCGTACGAGGGGTTGTGGATGAACGGCACCAAGTGCTTCGAACGTAAGGGGTCGTCAACGGAGACACGGATGTCGTAGATGGTCGGTTTGGGGGCGTCCGGCGCGGAATGGAATTCTTGGTCCACGCGGATGGTATAAGGGAGCTTGATGGGCGGCAGTGGTCTCAAGTGCGGGGTGACGTATTCGTTCAGCTGGGGAATGTGACCCGACTCTCTCCCAATAAGCTTCTGCAGCAGGTCGTCGCACCGAAAGTTGCGCTTCTCGTCGTCTTCTTGTAGCTTCATCAACTTGATGTACTCGAACAAGCCGGCAACGGCTTCCTGGCGGGTTGCCTCCGTCATATCGATCACGTCCGATAGCTCGGGGGAGAGCTCGTAACGCTCCGGGTCTTCGTGGCGGTAGAGGTTGATGGTGATGTTAACATTCTCGTCCCCGTGGCGCTTGAAGGTCAGCTCGTCGAAGTCGGCCGAGGCGGGCAGGTTGGAACCGGCGGGCGTGCGCTCGGGTTTCTTCCATTCTATCGCGGTGGTGTCGACGGGCAGACGGCCCGAGGCGGTGGGCTGGTCGAAGTCGACTGTGAGGGCTTTGAAGAAGTGGGAGAAGCGGTAGCGCTGGCCGGGCTTAGCGGGGACGGGTTTCGCTCCAGACTTTGTTGCTGTCTTTGTGCTGTCGTCGGTTGTGTCCATCTTATCTCCATCCTCCTCGTCCTTTGTGATCTCGTCTTCGTCGTCGAGTAGTCGGCCTTCGATCTTGACGCGGTATGTGGATTCGAGGTTGGAAGGGAAGTCGAAGCTGTCGACGTTGAAGTTGTTATTCTGCCAGTACTGGTCTTCGACGGTGTTGGTGATCCAAACGCGGAGTGTCTTGTACCGCTGTTGAGTGGTGTCAGTCAAGCTCAAACCTCCTTGGAAGCAAAAAAAAGAGGCAGTATATACCTTTGCATTCCTGCTAACCGAATCCACGATATCCAACCTCTTGCGACTCATGGTAGCATCCAGCCGCCTCTCGAAATCGCGTAGCTTCTTGTAAGCCACAGCGACATCGCCCTCGCCCACCAAAGTCTCTTCGACGCCATCGGGTAGGGTCTTGTCGGTAGGTTTGCGACTCCGGAGCTTAGCCAGGTGGTTGACGGCCTCGCGACGGTGTGATTCTTGTTGGATTTGCGCCTGGGTGATGGGCAGTTGGTGGTGAGCAGGACCGGCCGACATCATGGGCCCTGTGAAGAGAGAAGAAAGACCGGAAGAGGTTAGTTGAATGTGTAATCAAAGATTTGCGGTAATGTGGCGGGCGAGAAAATGGGGAGAAGCCAAGGGTCGTCGTCGGGTGGGTGTAAGAGAAAAAAATAAAATAGAAGAAAATAATCCAGCGGGGAAAAGAGTATCCAAGAAAGAAAGCCAGGAAGAAAACAGGGCAAGGTGCGGTACACAAGTTTGTTGTCAAGAATTTCCTTGTGTTCCAAGATGCAAGAAGCAGGAGCGTGGGATTTCGCGCTTGCAGTGTGTATGTATGTTGAATCTTTCCCTGTTAAGCTCGTCGCGAAACCTGAAGCACCGACGTTCAGCTCCGTCGTTCGACCGCGGCCGACGGGGTAGACTTGTATGTATGTGGAGGTAGGCGGGAGGAGTGTCCAGGCACACAAGGGAACGAACGCACGACGGGGGACCCGGACCCAGTCAGTTTGAATCGTCGCCCCTCCCACCCGTCTCCATTCAAGTCCCAAGTCCCAAGTCCCGCTTCCCAAGACTCAAAAAAGATAGACCATCGTTCCCCCGAACGTCCGGGTCTAGCATTGGAAAGGTTTGGAACTAGTCGATAGGTCGCGGTGGAGCAATCTGCAAAAAGCGGAGATCTTTGACGTTTGTCCCACGCCCGTTTCATGCATCAAACATGTCCTCTTTCCATCATCATCATCATCAACAACAACTGTTCATCTTTCCCCTTCCTCTTACGCTTGACACTGAATTGAAAGAAAAACGAGGGATACAAAATAACAAAGAGAGAGAGAAAAAACAAAGAAAAAAGGAAAAAGAAAAAAACTTACCAATCCCCCTCTCCTCGGCTGTGGCACATGATGCTGCTGCCCCCCTCGCGGCCCCCCTCCCGGCCCTGCATGATGATGTCCCACGGCCGCCTGCGGAGGCAAAGGGACCTGTGAATGTTGCGGCGGCCCTTGCGGCGGTCCAACAAGTTGGGGGTTGTGATGACCCGGTGGTGGTGGTCCGATGGGTTGTGGTGGTCCTGGTGCGTATCCACGGTACTGGGGCTGCAGGGGCTGCATCTTGTCTTGTCCTTGTCTTGTTCTTTTTTGTGTTTGTTGAAACTCGCGTGTACTCGATTTCGGTTTCGTGTTTGTTGCGCTGCGGGGAGGAGGAGAAGGACTTGGTAACCGAATTTCCCACTTGGTTGCTTGTCACCTCTTCTTCTTCTGCTGTATTACGTGCTTCGTGTCCTCCCTTGTAGTTGTGATTACGCGTGTAGTACTACTGTACTGAGTAGTCGGTGTTGGGTATGGATTCTTCGCTTCGCGTCGTACGTGGTTCCGTTCTTGGTGTCAAGGATGGACCGAAGGGAAACGCGTTTCGATCGCGTCGTTCGTTAGCTGCGGCGGGCGGGCTTGTCGCAAGTCGCAGTCGCAGTCGCAGTCGCAGTCCGGGGCCAGCAATTGATTGATGGAGGTTCAGAGTTGGGGTCGGCGGGTGGAGCCAGTAATTGTTAAGGCGCAAAAGATACATTGACCAAGTACCGCATCCACAGGGCAGGAAGTTTGGCAAATGTCACGTCTTGGCACTCGTGGTAGGGTCATGTGACACCCCTGAGAGAGACCAGTTGACATTTCAACGTCCAACAAAAGATGGTCAAGAATTACTTGTACTAAAAACAAACAGATAAAGAGAAGCAAAGAAAGAATCGCTGACGAGGTCACAAAAAGAAAAACCATACAACAAGAATCTAGCGTCCGAATCGCAATACCTTTTATCCAATATTTGCTTTTGCATGTACAAGGTGTGAACAGTATTAGAATTTCGTACCTTTCCCTTCTCCCCATCTTTCGCTGCCTTGGCTGCTGCTTGGCTGACTGACTGACTGACTGACTGAATGATTGCCGTCGCTGTCTGCTTGCTTGCTTGCTTGCTGTCTTTATATGCTGCTGCTGCTGCTGCTGCCTCTCTCTATTTGTTTGTTCCTTCTCATCGGACAGAACCTTGACCTTGGTTCCTCATCCACCACCACCACCACCTCCTCCTCCTCTTCTACTTCTTCGTCCTCCTCCTCCTCCAACCAAGGTCAAGGACAACCTTCAAAAAGCAGCCCCCAACCCATTCTTCGACTGCCTCCGACTGAACCGATTGCGCTTTGTAACACTGCTGCTATCATCCAGGCTCGCCTGACTCTTGGTCAGCTGATTGCGGCCCGATCGGTCACTGATGCTGTACCCGCCCTCTCCGCCACTAAAGTTTCCATGGCCCCTTCCATTGTGATGATGTCCACCTCCGCCACCGATATTCACCATGGAACCCGCCGGGCTGGACGACATGGACATGTCTCCAAAGTTGTCGTTGGAACCTACCAGGTTTTGGGAAAGCGCCAGGTCCTTGGCCCGCTCCAGCGACTCGATCCACTCGTCTACTGTAGACTTGCTGCTGCTGCTGCTGTTGTTGGCACCGTCTCTTCCTGCTCCTCCGTCTGATGACTTGTCGGATTTGTCCTTGTGTTGTTTTTCCGAGGACTTGGGTTCTTCAAAGGTGTAGTGTACGCCGCCCTGGATTTGGGGTGTCCTTGAACATTAGCATCAATATCGATATCACCTGATGAATAAAGGGGGGAATATATATTCCACTGGATATCGGGGAAAGGGGCTGGTGGTAAGTTTACTCACCGTGTCAACACACCAAACCGGCTGGCCCTTAGCGTCGATTTGGGCTTTCCACGTGCAATCCGAAGCCAGAAGTGAAATCTCCTGCTTCGCCTTCTTCTCCTCGCCGCCGGCTGGTGCAAACACGATACGGCCGCTCGAGGTGATCATGACAAGCCGCTGTCTCTTCTTGGTGGTACTGCCGCCAAAGAAGCGAGCCAACTTCTTATGCCCTTCTCCGCCTTCCTTGCCGTGTGGGCTGTGCGGTATCGGCGATGACACAACCATCAGGTCGCCCAGCTTAAGGATGCGCTCGTTGTTTTTGGTCAGGACGGGTGACCAGTCAAGATCCAGTTGCGTAGGAGGCGGTAGTTCGGTGATGATCCTAGCAGGTCGGTTGACGTTGTTATTGGCCGGTCCCCCTTGAGTGGTGGTGTTGCCTCTGGTTGAGCTTGGGTTGCCCATGGGCATAGAGTGATGACTATGATTCGAATTCGACCCACCTCCGCCCAAATGCATCATTTGCGGTTGCTGCTCCTGGGATCCTGGTACGTACGGCCTCAGCCGCGGTGCCTTCATCCTCCACAGCTCCTTGCCAAACATTTGTCCGGCAAAGAACTCGTGCTTCTTGATATGTTCAACCGTAAAGCGCTGAGCCGGGTCCAGCACAAGACATCGTTCTACCAAATCGCGCGCAGCGGATGGGAAACCAGGCGGGAATTCGTACTCGAGTTTTACGATCTTTTGGAAAGTAAGATACTCGGTTCCTGCTTTGAAGGGAGGCCGACCGGCGAGGAGTTGGTAAATAATGCATCCAAAGGCCCATATGTCGCTTGCTGTGCTCGCTGACTTTTCCGTCAGGAGTTCGGGGCTCACGTATTCAGCGGTACCAACAAACGAGGCCGCTCGCTCGTCATCCTCGCCACTTTGCCCGGGTGTTTCCTCTGGTGGTCTGGGATCTCGAGGGTCTCGCAGTAGCTTGGCAGTGCCAAAGTCGGTGATTTTGACGTGCATCTGTTCGTCCAGGAGCACGTTCTCGGGCTTCAGGTCACGGTGGATGATACCTCTCGAGTGCATGTAGTCGATAGCGTCCAATATTTGGGCGCCATAGAACCTGGTGCATTCCACGTCGAACGTCCCCGTCTTCTTGAGCACGCCCAGCAGCTCTCCGCCAGTACATAGATCGAGGACGTAATACAGCGAAGTCTCGTCCTGGAAGGTGTAATACAAGCGGACGATACCCGGGTGCTCGGTCAGCCGGTTCAGCGTGTTCTTCTCGATGTTGACGTATTTGATCTTCTTCTCCTTGATGATGTGCTTCTTTTCTAGGACCTTGACGGCGTATTCCCTCAGGGTTTGGCGATCGGTCGCAAGGTAAACCGTGCTGTAGGAGCCCTCTCCCAATATCCTCCCAAAGGTGAAGTCGCGCACTCCTTTCTTGACCGGCTTCATTGTCACCCTCCCATCGGCATCCACCTCTCTCCTAACGCCGACTGCCGCACCCCGGTCTTTCCATTCCTCGCTGCTGGTGGAGAGCATGGGTGGTACTTCTCCCAGCCGCGCTTCTGACGTATAGGTGCCCGGCGCGGCTACGGGGATGCCCGGGATCTGGGAATATCCTCCTTGAACCCCGCGTGAGCTCCTCCTAGGAGGCAACGCGCCGTTGAGATCGACGCCCATGGGAGGACCGGGACCGGGCCGGCCTTGGCGGTATGATCGACTCGGCTCTCGTGTGGGGGCACCAGGGGGCGCACGCCTAGACTCGCTCCTCGAAATCGTGGGCACGCCGTATAGAGAAGTCCGAGACGTGTCGGTCTGGATTTCGTTCCTTAGCTCGTTCCGTAGGTCCCCATATGCAGTCCCGTGTCCATGTGGGTGGTATGCTCCTCGCTGCGGATCGCCCTCCATTGACTGTAGTGCCCCTCCGGGAGTAGGTCTTGAGTTTGGTGGCCAGTTTCCATTTCCTGCTGGCAATTGTTGACTAGTCGGGGGATATCCGCGGGCGCTGAGGTTGTCTTGGGCATTCTTGAGGATCGCGGCGGCGGTTTCGTAGGTATGGGGCGGGCGCTGCGGGGGGTCTTGAGGGGTGACCTGCCGTTCTAGGTCCAACGGTGTCCGCTGAGAAGGAGGCTGTGCAGGCTGTGCAGGCTGGGGAGGAGTCGTCTGGGGGGCATTGTTCGTTGTTGCGTCTTGACGGCTCGCAGAGGACTGATTGGCGGGAGCATCGGGGGTTGTCTGATCGTTCTCGGTCGAGTGGACGGAGTCGTCATCGTCGAGGTTGGCAATTCGTAAGCCGCCAAGCGCTTGGGACAGGCTGAAGTCTCCGTTCATTGTGCTAAGGGGCGACGCCGCCAAGCG